ACTATTTCAATGTCTTTACTGGAACTGATCTCTGAACCATTGATGAACCACTTAAAACTGAAAGGAGGTGTACCGGAGGCAATCACTTCTATTTTAGTTTCTTCCCCAAGAATAACAACTGTCTCCTTAGATAAAGATTGGATAAAGATTGGTGGTGGCTTCGGTGAAGCGGCAGGCTCTTCCTGCTCATACTGAACAATCACCTTGCAGGAACTCGAGTCCTGTCCAAGGCGATTGCTTGCCACCACATCATATCTTCCCGGCTGCACTTTCTGAAGATGTAACTGTGAAACGTTGCTTGCCAATCGGCTAATCTCAATGTTCTGAGTTTTCCTTAGCTCGAAGTTGTTGAGAAGCCACATAAACGTAGCTTCCGGAACAGCGTCCGCTCGCACTTGCAGTGAAATCGGACTCGTCGAGTTGATTCTTAGCAACGGGGGCAACTTTTCAATTATGGTTGGCGGTTTAGGCAGATCTTCTCGTACTGTGATTATGGGTTTCTTCTTTAATGTAAACAGTGGTGGCCTTGGAAGGTTTGTGGTGACGGTTGTGCTCTCTTTGAACTCCTCCACTGTGCGCTCTGTTGTAATTCTGGTGATAGTGGTCACCTCACCCAGCGGATTCGCCGCCACCACCTTGTACTGCCCTGAAGTTGGTTTTGAGAAGATCGCGATACTGACATTCTCGCACGGCTGTGTGATGGAGACAAACTGTCCGTTCTTAGCCTCAAAATTGTTTACGTACCAGCGGAAAGTGGCTGGCGGAATGCTGTCAACTTTCACTTCAAGGATGAGTTTTTCTCCGACTTTCAAGTGAAGATCTTGCCACGGCTCTGACAACAGAACCGGCTTTTTAGGGAGCTTCTCGTCGACTCGCGGAATCGACTTTGCTTTCACAAAAGTCTCGCTCGTGGTGGTCTCCTCAGCTTTCATCTCTTGAACAACAACTGGTATTTGTGAAGCAACATCGTTAAGAACGATGGTTTTTTCCTCTTTGATTACAGTTTTCGTTTTTGGTACTTCGTTCTTTGCAGGTAATTCCCGCCTGGTGACCGTCAGGAAAGATGTCGTCGATGCAGTTGAGGCAACGCTGTCCACGATATCCCAGTCCGGTTCGTTCGGGCTGGTGACCGTCACCGATGATTCCTGGATGTCGGGACCGGCCTTGATTTCAGCTGCCGGGGCTTCTTCCACTACGTGGGTCTCAACAAGTACTCTTGTCTGCTGACTTTCTCGACCTTCACTGTTAAAGGCCACCACGTTGTATCTGCCCTGTTTGATTGGAGGTTGCACCACCAACGTTGATCGGTTTTGTTCATTCAGGAGCGTGATGTTCTTTGACGATTTCACTTCAAATCCGTTCACATCCCATCTGAATTCTGCCGTCGGAAGGGCTGTGACATCGACGGAGAGCACGAGCTTCTCGTTTGGGTTCACAGTGATTTCGGCTGGAAGAGTGGTGATGAAATTTGGAGCATGGGGCAGATAGCGAGCGCCCTCGCTTCGTGTTTTGTACAGGGAGCGTGGAAGTCGGTCGGGCAGTTTTTTGCCGATCTCTGAAATGGAATTAGTTCACACGAATGATGCAGTTATTCGAGCCAAGCAACTTTCGCTGCACTCTCCTACTCTCCTACATCACTCAACTAAAACATTAGGGTGCTTCCTTCTGATTCTGCTTAGAAATGAAGGTGTGATTGACTCGGTGCTTCTATCTAAGAAAAGTCAGTTGCACGCACGAACTGGACGAACTAAGGAACGTGTGAGAGCAACGAAAGTAACAGCGAAAGAAGTGACAGAAATGAACACGAAATGAAAAGCCAAGGAGGGATTCAAGGTCGGTCCCAAAGAGAGGAGTCCTTTTACCTGCACGGTGTTGTTCCAAGGATACTCGTCTTCTTGGTGAAATCGGCATTTCGACGTGACTTTCCAGATGACGAACTCCTCGTGGAACACTCGATGCACGTTGGGTATAATTAACTTCATATACATCCACAGTCTGACAATGAAAAAAATACGATTTCGATCCTACGTGGGTTCTGATTCAACGAACCTGATGCGTTTGAAGCAATTCTTGACCATCAGGGGCAGTTGGAATAGCAGTACTACCGGCATGATGACTGGCTGCCATTATGTTACGTGAAATATGCTCGCCGGCTGATACCGGTGGACGCATTGATTTTGTAGGTTTCGCTTAAACACAGAAGTAGTATCTCATGATTGACAAGATTACTGGAGAGCGGGGTAGCACATCCATAAAAGGCGCCACGATAAATACCCTCGTAAGGGTATGTATCAAAATGAATCTGGTTTATGAAGCGCAGCACCACTACACGATCGTGCAGCCGAGGCTAAGTCCATGGCTGAACCCACAGTTAGTGTTAACAGATGAAGGAACCTCCAAAACGTAACCGCAGGGGATTGGGATAGAAGATGTTTATCATTTCAAGGAAGAGAATAAAAAGTCGAATAAAAATGCGTATATTTATTTTCGAGTTGATTAATAAGGAAGCTTTAGAGCTTCAGCCGTTAACTTAAAGGCACAGTTCACGATAAAATTGGTTTCTGAGATTTCCCCACAGGATGAATTTGATGCCTCCGCGTATACCATATCTGGCACTGTTTGGCCGAAAAACGGCCTAGTTAGGGAGTTTTAAAGGCTCAAAGATCGGCCCGTGTGTATCCTCGGACGAGTTTCGCTGGCATTGTAGAGGCTGCAACGATCACAGGGAAATCCATGCAGGAAGTTCAAACAACTTGTCATGACCCATAGCGACAACGAAAGACCGTTCTGTACAGTTCTGGCTTGATGTAGTCAGCTCTTTGTGCAATTGCAATAACTGAAATCTCGTCCGATCACCCTTTCCATATTATTTCCGTCATGGCAATCTCGTCCAAACTCTATTTTTCCTACTTTTGAGGAGCCATCTTTTACTCCAAATCGGCGAATTCTCTTGCACTCTTCACGACCGATGAACTATTCCCAATCTATACTTCCGCTTTTAAAATGAAAACGGATACCTCAAAATTATCGTGAACTGTGCCTTTAACTCTCACAAATAGTCCGTAGTTCGCGTAATTAGTAATTGTCCTTATCAAGAGGGTATCCTTGATGTCATTATTGGCCCTGCCCATCATTGACTTACGGTCTGATATGAATTCTTATGCTTCTACAATTTTAAATCGAGCCAGAAGGATTGGCAATCACAAGAATCTGCCAATACCACTGCTCATAAATTTGACTAATGCTAGAAATATATAAATTTTCTTTTCCAATTTTTCAAGTCTAAAAGCAGCCTTGAAAAATTGGAAAAAAACTGAGCGAAGGCGAGAACTATACTTGAGAACCGATAAAGCTAATTTTTCCATTGATCCTTGATTCTGGTTCAACTTCTGAATAGGAAAATTTTTACCTCTATGAATTTCGACGTATCCGCTGCTCATCGCCGATCCGTGTACATTCGATGCGACTACTTTGTATTCTCCTGATACTGGGAAAGCAAATTTGACGACACATCGATTCGTACTGGGGTAGAACAGTTCGACACCTTTCGACGACTCGCGGAATTCACGTCCATTCACGAACCACGTGAACCTGAAGGAAACCTCGAACTCATGTTACCTATGATGACAAAGGTAGCAAAGATTTTGAGTAGATTTGCGAACCGTGCTGGTGGATCCGCATCAACCTCAACATCAATAACTACTTCGCTACCCGGCTGGACGGTTAGATTTGGAACCTGGAAGGTCATAAATGAATGCTAAAACAATACCGTGCTAAGGGTATGAATACGGTACCTGATTAATGAAACGTGGTGATCGATGTACGGTAACAGTAGTCTGGCCCTCCTGTGTCACCATACTTCGATCAACAATCGTCCATTCATCATATTGATGTTCAACTGAAAAGGGAAGGAATAAGGTAAACAACGTAAATGAATGAGTTGGTAATGGTCAAGCTACATGTGCGTCTGAGTGGAAGCGCTTTAAAGGCACAGTACACGATAAAAATGGTTTCTGAGATCCCCCCACAGGATGAATTTGAGGCCCCTTCATACACCACATGTGGTACTGTCAGGTCGGAAATCGGTCTAGATAGAGTGTTGTAAAGGCTCGAAATTGCCCCGTGTGCATCCTTGGACGAGTTTCACCGGCATTGTAGAGGTTTTTGCACCGTTCACAAGAGAACCCACGTAGGCAGTTCAAACAACTTGTCATGACCCATAGCGACAGTGAAAGACAGTTCTGTATAGTTCTGGCTTAATGTAGTCAGCTCTTTGTGCAATTACAACGACTGAAATCTCGTCCGAATACCCCTTCCATGTTATTTCCGTCTCATGTCAATCGTGTCTAACCTCTATTTCCCCCCTTTTGGGGAGCCACATTCTTCTCGAAATCGGCGAATTCTCTCGCTTTCTTTACTACCGATGAATTCCCAATCTGAACTTCTGCTTTTCGAACAAGAACTCCAAAATTATCGTGAACTGTGCCTTTAAAGATATCTGAAAACAGCAATTCGGCGTCCAATAAAGACTGTTGCTAGCTGTCTTCTGAATCTTGCAATCCTGACGGCCTCCTACATCATTTTGATTTTCTCGTGCAAACAGTAACGACGCTCGGATGATCCGATCATGTCGTCAATTGCTAGCACTCAATTTTCAATGGGTCCAACAACTCAAAACCGCCTCCAATAGGACGTGATGTATTGACGGCTATCTTCAAATAACCAAATATGAATGGGATATGGGCATGTTTCAGCCTCTACTCAAACAAGGAGCCGGGGAGACATCAACAAAACTCCTTACTCATCAGTGGTATCTACTCCATCTTTTTTTGAAGTAAAAAATAAAACCAAAGGACAACTCACAATTAACAGTTATATATCCATAACTAGTGCTAACTCCAGCCGGATTTCGTGCAGTACATTTGTAGACGCCCTGTTCAGGTTGATGCACAGTCAACGTGGTTATATTCAGCCCATGACGGGCTTGGAAGCGTCGACGATCCTGAAAATTCGATGATACCCTCAGAAGAAAACTGACTTATTACTGAGCCTGGATCTCAAAATTCACCTGCTGCACCGGTTTATCATTGCAGAACCATTCAAATATTGCTGGTGGATCAGAGGCCACCTCGACGACCAATGTCGGAGTATCGCTCGACAGAATACGATACGCTTTGATCACCTGAATATGAATCGAGCCTTGAGATTTCTTGGAAGCTTAGGGCTGTTGGATTGGGAACTTGGCCGTAAACCGAAAACGCAAAGTTTTTCGGATCATAATGGGATGGGCTTTATCAATTGAGGGCGATGCCTTGGATTGGTATTTCTGGAACCATGCCATTGGCTGCTTTCATAGTCCACGATTTGCCCCGCGAGCGAGCGATCGATCGATCGAGCGAGCGATCGAACGATTGGGGCGGCGCTTGCCCCCAGTATTNNNNTCAGTTGTAAACAAGGGACAAGCGCCGCCCCAATCGCTCGCTCGCGGGCCAACTCTTGGACTATGAAAGCAGCCAATGAAAGAATCTGTCTCTGAGAGAGCTTTTCATTGTCTTTCTTTTTGTTCGACTCCATTCATTCTACACCCTTTGCATACAACAGATTGTAGCCCGTGTCACATGAGAGTTATCAATTTAAACTAGCCAATCTCTTAGACAGTAAATTTGAAAAATCAAAGGCAGTTTTGGAAAATTAAGGACTTCGTTAGGACTGTTACACAACGGACTGCGACCCTTGAAGCGAATTAAATGGAAGGAAGGTCTACTTAGATAATTTCGAGGTACCCGTTAAAATTCGAAAAGCGGAGGTATAGATTGGGAATAGTTCATCGGTATTGAAGAAAGCGAGAGAATTCGCTGGTTTCATGAAAAATATGGCTCCACAAAATTAGGGGGAATAGAGGTTGGACGAGTTTGCCATGACGGAAATAACATGGAAGCGGTATTTGAACGAGATTTCAGTTATTGCAATTGCACAAAGAGCTGACTACATCAGGCCAGAACTGTACAGGACTGTATTTCACTGTCGCTATGGGCCATGACAAGTTGTTTGAACTTCCTACATGGATTCCCTTGTGATCGGTACAGCCGCTACAATCCCGGTGAAACTCGTCCGAGGATACACAAGGGCCAATCTTTGAGCCTTCATAACTCCCTAACTACGCCGTCCCCGACCTAATAGTACCACACGGTATACTCGGGGGGCTAAATTCATCCTGCGGGGGAATCTCAGAGACCATTTTTATTTTGAACTGTGCTTCTAATACGGTTTTCTTGCCTTCTGATCATTTTTCTCCAAACCCCATAGCATTGCCACATTTCAACGATTCCTTTGAACGATCCATTTCAAGCCGGTTGTTCAAGTTCCATTAAGATAATAACGGAGTCATGAAAACGGATTATCATTCTAGAGTGTACCCTCTTCGACTTGACCAGCCAGTTATCAGACCCACTGAACACGGTGCAGTTAGAAGTGATAGGTGAGGAACTAAAATTACACCAATCCTTCCCAAACGGGTGCAAGTATGAAACCTCGTCTTCTACCCAGTTAACACTACGGGTTTGACCCCAACTTCCAGGAGTGTATCATGGACAGAACCGAAGCCAAAAAAAGCAACGTCCCACCTTGAAGTAAGAGCCTAGTTTTTGTGCTAGCACAAGTGAGAAACTCATGACTACCAACTGAAAATTCTTCAACCTGCCCATGTAATAATTTCATTCAAACGAGGAATCTATGTTATCGTCACTAAAGGAACTTTGACCTTAGAGTTAGCATGCCGCTAAGACAGATAGGCTTTTTAGGTCTTGACGTCTACTGACAAAACTAAAAACGAACTTGGATGAATTTTGGCGGAGCAGCGGTGACAAAACTGGTGATTTCACTACTCCAGTGTTCTTCTGTGAAAGAGTTTGACTGCGATCCAGTTGATCGTATCAAATGCGTCTCGGCCACTGTCGCATTGCCCGAACGAAAAATCGCCTCACGGTCTACAACATTTCGCATTACCCTCGACATTATGGCCACATTTGAGTTAACAGATTGATTATGCTTACCTGTACGGAAAGCTGTTGACGGGCTGTTTGGTGCAGTCAGTACTCGACGTGGTGAAGGTGCTCCGACCCACTCGGTGCTTTCGGTGTTGACGCGTAGTTCTCGTAAATCTGAGCGAAGTGGAGCTGCGTCGTCGGTCGGGCGACGATCCATCGCTCACACCTAACGCTCTCCTCGTTTTTGCCCCTCTATCACGCTCACTACCGATCGAATAAAACTAGCACTGCTAGCCTGAAAAAATTGACGCCAAAAATGTGAAGCTGCATACGGAGCTGCACTCTATACTATGCCCGTAGAACGTAAGAAGAAGTCATGAGAATTGCTTCAGGGTAGCTCACACATATTCAACAGAATTTGCCTCATTTGGCTGCTTTCAGACTTCAACGACCGTCCGTCCGTCCGTTCAACGCGTGCGTGCCACGACCGCGGTTTTAGAAGGGTGTTGACAGCGCCGAATACCGATCAGACGCTGTTAACACCTTTCTAGAACCACCGTCGCGCACGCGTTGAGCGGACGGACGGACGGACGGGCGGGCGCTCAAAGTTTGAAAGCGGCCTTTCACTGCTGTAAGAAAGTAAACTGCCACACTCATGAGATCTTCAAAATTCATAAGCTCAGCATAGATTTTATTTCAAGTTGAAAGGCTTCGATTCTGGGAAGTGAGCAAGAAATTTTTGGTGACTTTAGATTCCACCTGAAGTCCTGCTATAGGAACACCTATGGTTGAGAGGAGTACGAAATTANNGTTAACACTTCGGGTTTGACCCCAACTTCCAGGAGTGTGTCATGGACAGAACCGAAGCCAAGAGAAGCAACGTCCCACCTTGAAGTAAGAGCCTAGTTTTTG